CTTTTCCTGCTGTGCATTTTCCTCCTGTGCCTTTTACTCCTGTGCCTTTTCCTCCAGTGCCTTTTCCTGCTGTGCATTTTCCTCCTGTGCCTTTTACTACTGTGCCTTTTCCTCCTGTGCCTTTTCCTCCAGTGCCTTTTCCTCCTGTGCCTTTTGCTGCTGTGCCTTTTCCTCATGTGCCTTTTCCTGCTGTGCCTTCTACTCCTGTGCCTTTTTCTCCTGTGCCTTTTCCTGCTGTGCCTTTTCCTGCTATGCCTTTTCCTCCTGTGCCTTTTCCTGCTGTGCCTTTTCCTGCTGTGCCTTTTGCTCCAGTGCCTTTTCCTCCTGTGCCATGTGTTGACCAGCACTTGCCCTTTTTGAGTTGCAGGCTCTGATCTTCTCTAGCCTTCAGCCACAGTTATTATAGTTTTGATCTTTTAACTTACTAACTATTTATTTTTATATAGTTTTCAATTTTCATTTGATCTCCAGTTGAGTTACTTTTCATTGTAATTGTATTAGTTTTTATTTAAAAGATAAATTTCTAGTTAGTTGTAATGTGTTTTTAAGGATGCAAGGGTTTTATTCATTATTTGCAAGGTATAAAGTCAGACCAGAACCTGCAGTGAAAAGCACAGTGGACAATAAAAACATTGAGAGCAAAAAAGACATTAAAAAAGGCAATAAAAGTAATCACATAATAAATAGTATAGTGTAGTATAGTATAGTATAGTGTAGTATAGTGCCTTTGGCTGTTTCAGTGATTGAAGTGCATTGCACAAAAGGGTGGCGCCATCTAATGGAAATATACTGGATTACATTACCTCAAATCAAATGACTTTCATCAAGGAGGAAAGGTAAACAAATCATTACTCTAGCTAAATAGCATTTAAAACAGTAACTGGAAGTTTTTTTTTTATTTCATTTAGTTTTGGAAGCAATATTTTCATTTTTGTTCAGTTGTTCAGTTTTGTTTTACTTCAGTTCACGAAAAAGTTGTCTCATGGTATTAGTTTTCATTATCGATAATGACGCTGCCCTGAGGTGACCGATCCCCCGCTGCGGTGGTTAATGCCCGGCAGTATGGGGCAGTGGATCAGTGAGTACCCTCTTCTCCACAGTCCCGGCGGCTGTGACCTCCCTCACCCTGGCTGACCGAGGCACGGAGGACCTGCTGGTGACTTGGGAGGCCGCCCCCGGAGATGTGGACCACTATGAGGTGCAGCTGTTCTACAACGACATGAGAGTGCTCCCGCCCACCGCGCTGAGCAGCACGGCCCGCGAGTACCGGCCCGTCTCCCTCACCCCCGGGCGCCTCTACAAGGTCGTGGTGTCCACCTTCAGCGGGTCCGACCAGAAGGGCGAATTCATCAAGTGTAGGACGGGTACGTTGTAGGAGAATGGGGTGACCAAGGGGGTATTTTAACATGTGGACGAGTGACCTATTGAGGCATCAGTGGTCTTTGGACCCCTCTGAGATTTTTTTTGTCCAACCTCTCCATAATACTAGATCAGGGATCTCCAACTCCAGTCCTTGAGAGCTACTATACAGTAGGTTTTCTAATCTATCTGGTTTCTGATGAGTCACACCTGTTCCTGGTATTCACTTGAAAACAGGTGTGATTCATCAGAAGCCAGGTAGGATAGAAAACCTACTAGTCAGTAGCTCTCCAGGACTGGAGTTGGAGACCCCTGTAATAGATAAAGAGCTGAAAGACTGCTGGTCCTTCCATGTCAAGTTTATAGCTCCAGTGTCTGGCCTCTCACTGTCTCTGCAGTGCCCAGCAAGGTGAAGAACATCCACGTGAGCAACGAGGGAGAAAGCAGCATCCTGAAGGTCAACTGGACACCGGGGCAGGGTGATGTGGACAGCTACTCCGTATCCCTGTCCCAGGGAGAGCAGCAGCTAGAGACACGGCCTGTCGCAAAGAACATCAACGAGATGAGCTTCCAGAAGCTCACGCCGGGCCAGAAGTACACCATCACCATCCAGTCCATCAGCGGGGACCTGAACAATAACAGCACAGCCAGCGGGCGCACTGGTGAGGGAGTGGGGCTGGGTGGTGGCTATGATAGTTTGGTGAGATGCGGGGTCAAGACTGGGGATGATCATGATTGGTGGGAATATGACAGTGGGCGGAGCTTATTGTTAATAGGGCGAGACCAGAACTATGGGTGGATTGGTGGTTGATAGGTGAGGGTTTCTGAGGGAGTTAATATTGGAATCTGTGTACTTATCTCTTTAACCGTCATGAACTTAATTGGAAAGAGCAAATTAGGGGCCCTTATTACATTGTCAATTAAACAACACACAATTAGTGTTCAGACACGCACCCCAGGGTACTCCAGCCCCCCTCCAGCCCCCCCTCCAGCCTGCACTAACATTTTAATCTGTCTCGCTCTCAGGAGGGTTCTTGGTGCTGGTGAAGTGCCTTTGCAGTTATTACTAAGGTGGCTAATGGGTCATTGTGATGTTCTGCGTGACCTGATTGTTGGTAAAACCCTGAGGAAAGAATGAACATTATAATATAACTGTAAAAGAGAGGAGCTAGACAATGGTAATCATGCCATATCAGTACAAATCAGGTGTGTTTTTGTTGGTTTGGGTACAGTTATGGTTCTCCTGTCTTTCCCAGTGCCTTCCACGGTGGAAGGCCTGCAGGTGGACAACCAGCAGAGCACCCACCAGCTGCAGGCCTCCTGGCAGGCCGGCCCAGGCATTGCCGACGGTTACAGCCTGCGGCTGCTGGATGACAGGGGGAACCAGCTCTCCAACATCTCTCAGCCCTCCAACTCCACCCAGCACCTCTTTGAGCAGCTCACCCCGGGGAAGACGTACCGCGTCCAGATTCAGACGCTGAGCGGGGGAATACCCAGCAAGGACACCACCGCTAAGACCCAGACACGTAAGGCCATATCTGCTCTCGGATTGATTGATAATGCCTGGCTCTCACCGCTAAAATCAATAAACCCAAGAGCTCCCGAAAGATTGACTTCTGTGTAGCTCATGACTTAGCAGGCATGATTAGCTGCCCGTCCGACTGCAAGCTGTCCCCCAAATCACTCCACAAGCTGCATGAATCCTGCCTTTTTCTGGCAGTAGAAACCGCACGAGACATAGCTCAGCAGGAATGTCCCAGGAGGTGTCTGCGCCTTTCGTATCAGCAATCCATAATGTGTCGTCCCAAAGCTGGGGACGGAATTTATTGTCCCAAAGATCATGATGATAAAGTGACTTGCAGGTGCACCGATAGCTACAGATTTAAGTATAGGGGAAGCTGTACGCCATCTATTATGCTGTGGTGCTTTTTATGATCAAAGGAAATTATCCACGACTTTTATGGTTAATTGGCTACCTGACTGGACCTTGACTAAAGCTTTTTTATAATTTAAAGATAAGCTTAACTGATCCCAAGGGGTGTTTCTTGTGCATACAGCAGAATTGTACAAAAAGTCAAACAAAATGCGAAAACAAAAACAAGACACATAGCGCATAGTGCAAGACAAGACAAGGTGCAATAAGTAAACATAGTGCAAACAAATTTAAAACAAGTACGCAGTGCACAAGCTCAAAAAGAATATTGGGAAACATAAATAAAAAATTAAAATAAAAAATAAAGCATATGATACGTAAATATATTACATATAACTGCGTGGAGCATGGTGTAATCCTCTTACATTTAATAATTTCTACTTTTGCAATCTGCATCATGTTTCTGAAATGTCTGTGACTGTGAGTGCCTGTAAGTGCCTGTGAATGCTTATTAGTGCCTGTGAATGCTTGTGAGTGCCTGTGAATGCCTATGAGCCAGATAGTTCGGCCTGTGTCTTAGGCCTGCTGGGTTCTCCTGTCCCCAGGCCCCGCAGCGGTACCTTCTCTGGCCGTCACGGCCAACAGCAGCAGCAGCGTGACCCTGGGCTGGGGTGCGGCACAGGGCGAGCTGGACGGCTACGATGTGCTGCTGTACGACGCTGCCAGCGAGCTCCGGGGCAGCCATCACGCAGGGCCAGCCGCGCGTGGCTACTCCTTCCGGGATTTGCGGCCAGGCACCCAGTACAAGGTGGTGGTGCGGACCCGCAGCGGCACACAGAGTAACGAAACCTCCATCTGGACCAGGACTGGTGAGACCTCCTGTTCAGCCCTAATGATGGCATGGGCAGACCTATTTGATGACCTTATGTAGATGCTCCTTGCTTTATAATAGTTTAGATCGCAGTATTTTGACTTTATGATGGTGCAATAACAATGTACATTCGGTAGTCAACTTTGAATTTCGATCTGTTCCTGGGATAGCGATATACCATGTGATACTACTGGTGTCTATTGATACCAGGCAATGGCATCATCTGCCCGGTCACACTTCCGGCCTCTGTAGCAATCGCGAGCAAAGGCATCTCAAACAGTGTTTAACAACATATTGTGCATTGGTTTTTTTTCTCTATGTTTAACCAGTTTCTCTGATTAACTGGTATTCATTTATTTACTTTTCAGTTGGTGATATTTAGTTTGTTACAGTAATTATTTACTTATTCCTTGACAGTAGTTATTTAATTGCTTATTTATTTACTGTATCATATTCATATTCGACTTGCAATACTTTCCACTGATTCATTGGAACGTAACCCCATCGTAAGTCGAGGAGCACCTGTACTTTCAAGCATTACAGCTCAGAAATGGGGGAAAAAATACATTATTTTAGAAAACTCATGTTTTTTCTCATGACGGAAGGGATGGTGGCTTATGTTAGGAAGAGCTAGGTGGGGGAAGTGGGTTTGGTGAAAAGTCTGATGCCATGGTTCAGGTAAATGGGTGATGACATCATATAGCCGCATCTGATTGGCTGTGGTGGTCCTTCTGCCCTACTGCAAAACGCCAAGCTAAAATACCTATGCTGTACCTTTGCGGTTAATTTCAACTGAGTAAACAGTACTCTGAATGTTTAGGTTTCGGAAAAGAAATGGCAGAGGGTGTTTCCAGAGCAATTAGAGTTTCTCCTCTACAAATGTAGACTAGCCATGTTGTCTCACCAAGCATTTAAAACTTTCACATATCTATTCATCAGTCTTTTTTAGCTTTTTGGGGGGTGACAGGGCTCTCAGTATAAATCAGTTGCATTTACATAGAGACCGATTTCATCAGATGTAGCCCATTCTCGAATTATTACACTTTTTGAAATGGAATTTTCCCCCTTTGTGTCTTTGGGTTAAAATTATGGCCTCAATTTCATAGCTCACTAAGTACATCTAAATGCAAATAAATTCCTGCAGCAGAGTGTTTAATTTATTTATTTCAGGTATTAATGATGCCGCATTTCTTAGTCTGTTTCTTGGTCTTGATGAATGATTCATGCGATAGGTTACAAAGTAAGGCTGACGGTTTGCCCAGATTACTTTTTATTAGTTTTTATGTGTACAGATGCATGCTGGGTAAAATTATGATAAAGAAGATTACATGATGGCAGATAATTGTTACACTTATTGACACGTTTTATGGGTCAGAGATGACGGGACTCTGTGGCTGTGATGAGTGACGGGCTGATGAGTCATAGTTTCAGTCTCTGTCAGATTAGTTTCCAGTTAGTACAGTCAGTTCTTAATTTCACTTGTCAGTGTTTATTTATGTAAACTATAGGCCTGTGTGTCATATTGCTGGTCAACCCATTTAATGTCCTCTTAGGTTTTATCAGGATTTTCATCCTATTTCTTGCTTGTTGCTAAGCCTGGTTGCCATCTGCTGTCTGACTCCGATTATGTGTGCTGATCTCTGAAGTATAAGAACCTGCAGTCAAGCTCTTTATTACAGTAGGAGAAACTTTTTTTTGGCTCCATTGTTAAGATGTTGTTTTTTACCCATGATCCTCTGCTCCTGTGCTCAGTTCCTGCCCCCGCCACGGCCCTCCAGGCCCGGAACCGGAACCAGACGGACAGCCTGTGGCTGAGCTGGATCCGGCCCGTCGGCGACCTCAGCAGCTACTTGCTCTTCGTCTCTGGCGCCAACGGCTCCCAGAACCTCGAGTTACCCCCCGAGCGCCAGGAGCACGTCCTCCAGAACCTTCTCCCAGGGCACCTGTACCAGGTGGAGCTCCGCACCTGTAGCGGGGAGCTGACCATCGCTGCCAGAACGGAGGGGAGGACCGGTAAGTCACCTCCCCCTGACTCCTCAATCCAGCAGAGCTCTACTGCGTGACCTACACTGATTAGAAACAGCACCACATACATCATCGCTTTAGGTTATGAAAGAGTCCATCTACAGCCAGTATATAATCAGAATAATATCACATAGACTTTAGCAATTTATATATAAAGAATTTTCCCTTGGAATCAATAAAGTATTTCTTTTATATGTGTGGTTGGCTTAGATCTGGACATGCACCACTTTAACAATATAGTCAACATTATTTGCATCATCTGTGTGTGTAGTTAAGATAGTTAAAAAAATGTCAGTGATGTATTGATTAGCCACACGAGTTGTGCAAGGGATTGAGTATTGGATGGTTACCACAAATACTGGTGTGATTTTGTAACCAGCAGGAAATGCCAGTCTGTTTTGTTTTGCCTAGAGATTCGTCTGGCCTGATTTGTTTGCTCAGTGTGTCTGTGTGTCCGTAACAGCACCAGAGTCCCCCACATTGCTGTCCTTCCCGAGGATCACCAACACCTCAGTAGAGATCCAGTGGAGCGTGCCGCTTGCCGGTGAATACGACGACTTTGATCTGCAGTGGACGCCGCATGATGCCCTGTCCGTGTCGAAAGGCCATCCCGCTCCCAATGTGGCCAGCCGTCTCCTGAAGGGTCTCTACCCCGGCCGGCTGTACACCTTCAGCGTCCGCACCGTGAGCGGAGGCGGGGCTGCCAGGGACTCGCCCACCTACAGCCAGCCCATCTACAAGAACGTCCAGACCAGTAAGTTATCCCTCAGGTACCCATAATGCAATTGGATCAGAATCCAAAGGGAACCTCATGCTTAACACTGGGGTACATGGCTTTGTTGAAAATCGAGTCCATTTTGTGTCCATCTATATGTTAATTTGGTCAAACAGTGTGGAAGGAAGCATCTTCTCTCTTTCCAATTTTTTCACCTTGGAGAGGAATATGCTTTAAATACCTCAATCCTCCTTCTTGCCAAGGCCAAGCAAAGTGTTTGTTGTTTTTTAAAAAAAGCACATAATCACACTTTAATCCTTTAAGCGGTGTGTGGGTACTGCGGATACAGTAATATCGATCCAAGTTGAGTTCACACAGCAGTGCAGTGAAGCCACCAGCAGAGGGCAGCACATGATTGACATTACCGGTTAGCTGGACAACGCAAACTGTTGCGGGCGGAGGTGCAACCGACAGATTACATTTTGGGGAGATCAAAGTGAGAAATGAATTGGCCTGGGGCAGCTAAAATCTAATGAGAGCCACAGAGGAGACCTGCAGCTCACCAGCTCAGCCAGAAAATAAACACTCATATGTGACGTGATTGTTGACTCATCCCTAATCAGATTATTTGAAGTAAGGGATTGTGATTTAGACAGGAGAGAGAATGGTGCGGAGGTGGCCGGCCCAGGCACGTGTCGCTTTCTGATTGGCCGAAGCCTTAGTAAAATTGCTGTCACCAGTTATCAGCGCCTCCAATCAGCAGGAGGTGGATGGTGGAAGTTAAGCTCGGAGGATTAGAGGAGAACTGTTCATTGTTAAGGCGAAACAAAGTTTTCCAGGAAGGAATAATTATGTATGGGGAACATCAGTTCACTCATTAGTCCTACCAAATGTAAACCTAGAGCAGGGCTGTTCAAATCACGGTCCTCAGAGTCCGAGCCCTGCTGGTTTTCCAGCCTTCCTTTACCCGTGAGACAGGTGTGAAGCCTCTGGCCAATTAGAATCAGCAACTATTAAACTAATTGCCTAGGAAAACTGAAAACAAGGCCTGGATTTGGAATCGAGGGCCAGATTTGAAGAGCCCTGGGTAGGAGCCTATCACAGGAAGCCTAGGCCACCACGTGACACCCCAGACAGAAGGGTAATCTGATCACCCTAACCCCATTACAGACAGGGGACTCTAGACTGTACAAGAGACACGGGTAAAGCCTCTTGTAGCATATAGTATGTGTCTTAGGACATGCTGTCTTGCCCCTGGCTGTCAGTGAGTTTCCGAGGCCTTCCTCGTTCCTCGTCATCGCTCATAGCAGACAGGTGCGGCCCGTGTCAGTTTGGCTCCTTCAGCCCAGAGCACATCGCCAGCCGAGATCCGTTTTCACGAGCCGCCATTAATCTGTCCTCGCTCCGCTCTCCTTTCATCCAGGTATCGATTAAGAATCCGTCCGAAGCCAGAGCCTGCGCGCCGTCAGATCTTTAGCGCTACCTCAGACAGGAGCCCCCTCCCGATGCCTGTGATGAGGATTTTTGCTGCATTAATCCCTTTATCTCTGCCTCCTTTTATGCGGAGCTCATCCCAGCCCTTCTGGCTGGAGCGCAGAGACGATTCATGCTGATGTTTCTGTTAGCATTTTGTGCTTAATCACCGCTGCTCTAATTTTATATTTCGTCTCGAACTAATCAAGAATGAGCACGCCGGGGGGGGTCACATGATGCGCTGGAGGATGGCTGCATAGGAGCGCTGCGCTATGTTACTTTATAGTTTAAGGCTATTGCTTTAACTCTCTAACTGTACTAAACAGAGCTGCAATAAGCCACCGATATGTCAGAGACCTCCAAATCGGCAGCAGGCGACATCAGACCAGGCAAACCTCCAGATTTGGTTGAAGATGATTTCATCGATTAAACTAAAGAGGTTGGAGAGCTTCTCTCCCTTTTCAGATGTTGAGAATCAACTGGATTGCTTAGTTCACACCTGGGGGGGGCAGCCCACTAGGGGGCCTCAGCAAGGATTGAGGGGGCCAGACAATTTATTTGAAAAGCGTAGACAATATTACAACATTGCTATAGCTAGGGTTGGGCCTACATCAAATTGATATTTTTTCAAATCAAGATATAAGACGACACCTTTTATATCGATATGCTTTAATTGTGCGTTAAAATTAGGGCTTTAATAAAGATTTTAATAGAAACCAGCAGTATTCTTTACTGGTTGTAAACAGCTCGAGAGCTTCGGTTGTGACATTACACGGAATCCCAGAATTTGTAGCTAAAATCAGCGTATGCTGGGGAGGCTGATTGTGGGGAAGCCAAGGACTCTGTACATGGTTCATTTCTTTTTAAAACACTGTTAAAATTATTGTAATTTGCAATATTTCTTTGATTTTGTTGAAGACTAATACCTTAAAATGGCATTTTTTCAGTTATAAAATATATGCTTGTCAGGCTTCTGATTTTAGAGCCTGTAGCCAATTAGGCTCTATATTTAGATAGTGGTTTTATTCTTAAGCACCTTCTGCTCTTAGAGCAACATGATAAACTGAGGAAAAAAGAGTGTTGGTGGACATACAGTAGTGGAGTGAAACATTGTTTGTGGCGTCGGCAACCCAAGTTCCATGTAGCGGTAGGAAATTTGCATATTTTGGCATGCTATGCTGGTACTGAAAATAGCCCTTATCTGTTTCGTTGTAAATAGTTGGGCTGTTTTCCTGAATTGTACCGCAACTTTCCTGTGTGATACATGGTTGTTGCTCCCCACATGTCCCTGTCTGTGCTGCAATTACCCACTGTGTGTGCGCCCGATCGTTTGGTGTGTGACATTTCCCCAGATTCCAGTGTGTCAAGTGTGTGGGGGTGGTGAGATTCACTCTTGCTTGGTGGTTGTGCATAGTTTTTTTTAAGTACTGCTAATAAGAGAGTTTTTATTTTTTTGTGGTGAAACTGCCTGAGCCAGTTTCTCTTTACCATGCGTGGGTTAGTGGGCCGCCATATTGGTGTCAGAAGTGGAATTGCTTCTGGGTTTTCAACTGGCATCACTGCAAGATCCCCAGAGAAACTTGGGAAGGGAAAACGAAGAATTAGAGTGGTCTGTTAGCTTATGGATGGAGAGACAGTGAATGAAGATCGCTGAAGAGCCAAAGAGCCTGCACCAAGCACAGCTTTGCTTGCTACCCCTCCAACAGTACCCACCAGGCTGCCAAGGTACAGCGGCGAGCAGCCGTGGGAGCTGGTTGGGATACAGCTTGAGCTTGCTGCCAAGAACAACGGCTGGGACAGGCACTTGCAGAGGCAGACCAAGTGGAGGAGATTTTCGGAGCAGCACCACAGGAGGATGTCCTGAGCACTTGGCAGGATACAATGGAAGGCAGTAATGGTCCACTGAGGCTGACCTACAGCGGCGAGCCCACAACAAGAGACCTGTTGACTCAGAGGGGCCACAGGGCACGCTTCTGCCCAGAAGATGTTGGGAGATATGGGGGAAGCAGTGAGGAAGATGCCACACCGCTTTGTCGAATCCTCTCATCGGCAAACGCACCAGGACCACCTACCCCTTCGGGCGCGTTGGTGAATTGCAAAGCCGCATTGTGCCCTGGGCCATCAGTGGAATCTGCTGTCATGCCCTGATCTATAGAGGCTCCACCATTTTTATCATCAGGGCAAGAATCTTACCAAGGACAGGGGAACCCACACCTCCAGGCTGGCAGCCCAACACCCTGAACCTTCGCACACTAACCGGAGGGATTCTCATGATGAAAGGCCGTTGATGTCTCCGGGTCCATCTGGGAGCCATGCTCATGTCCCACAAGTTCTGATTCACTCCCATCCAGGATGACTGCATCGTGGGGACGGTCTTCCCTGCTGGCCACCCTGGTTCCACCTTGGCCACTACAGTACAGCCCGCAGGACCAAGGGAATGTTTCCCAAGACTCCCGTTCTTATGTGATTGGACCCATTCAGTTGCATGGCTCCAGCTATGTAAGTTGCTAACATAGTTAGCAATTGTACTTTTGGAAAACGCATCCCCAGCCAGTTACCACCGTCTTTTGGTGTGTGGCGTTCAGAGTCCTTTTAAGGACTGCTACTAAAGAGTATACTTTTCTGATGGAATTGCCTGAGCCACTTCCTCTTTGCCAGGCCTGGGTCAGCAGGACGCCACAATATGTTTATATTAATAAGCATTGGCTGAACTAGACCGACTCCATCAGAAAGTAGACGATGTTGATGTAGGGAGAGACTTTAAGTTTCACCATCTTCTCAGAGGTGGATGAATATGCTGATATTTTAGCATTCGTGGCCAGAACAGTACCTGCTATACTGGGGATGGACCTTCCTGATGGAATTGCTCTCTAGAAGGCTCATAGATCAGACCCACGCAGGGAGCAGAACGATCCACCTAGAGTCAGACCCATCATCTCAAGGTTCTTATGATTCCAGGTCAAGGAACGCATACTACAAGCTGCAAGGGGTAAGGAGGAAATATGGTGGAGGAAACCGTATCAGGATCTTTCCAGATTTTTCTAAGGACTTCCAGAACAGGCGACTGAAATTACGCAATTGCAAGAAACTTCTGCAGCAGTGAAGCATTATATTAGTACGTGAGCGGGGATGAGGCAATGATTTAAAGATCAGCAGAAAGCTATGCAATTCATAAAGATTTTGTTTCAGCCGACCAGTTGAGTACTCTTTGACTGTGACTCTTTATGCTCAACTGGTTGGGTTGGTTGGTGTGGATTTTTGCTTTCTGGACCTGACCTATTCACCTCTGATAAGGGCCATGAAGCATTACATTATTATTCATTGATATGGAATAAGTCAGGTACCACTGGGACCCTGAGACGGTTGTGGGAAATAGATCTTAGCATCGCGTCCACGGGCGACGATTGGGCCTCTCTATTACAAAACCTTAAAAAAACATCAAGAGGAATTTGGACAAGGCTTGGACTTCAGCTTTCCTACCGCCCCATACTCTGTATTCTTAGTGATCCTTCTATCACAGAAGATCTCCTTTGGCCCGAAGCGGAGTGGGTTCATACTGCCGTTATGATAGGCTGGAAATAACTAATTCAACAATGCGGATCTGCCCAGGCCCCCTCACTTGGGGAATGGCACGTATCGTTGAGCAGGGTTGCCGTCTATGAAAGGGTCTCTTACAGGCTAGCAGAAAGGCAGGATGACTATCTGTGCAAATGGGCTAAATTCTTGGATTACATTAACGGCCCCTCCCCCTTGTGCATCACCATAGTTACATCATATGCTTGGACATTGAAGCAATGCACAGCCACCCCCACAGGCCCCCCCATTTTTTGTTTGCTTATTTGTTTAACTCTACCTCTGTTTTGTTTTTTCTCTTGTGTGCTTACACATAATCATCATTATTATCTTCCCATTGTTACTTGTTCTTTTTTTAATACCTATAGGAGTGATCATACATCTAAATGTCACTGTGCATAAGCCCATTCATTACTGCTAATGATGTTCATACCTCACGTCTGCGTGAATCTCTGCATGTGTATACATCTCTCCGAAAAATCTGTGTAAATACTACTCATTAAAAAAAGAATGAGCTTGTCAATATTGCAAGTCTTCAGTTTTACTCTGCTCATTCTGTAGATTGTGTTGTGTCTACTCCAGCAGATTCTCATGTGAGATCTTGCGTAGCTTCATGTAATTACCCTAACCTACAGTCTTATAATATTACATCACATGCAGGTCCAGGTGACAGACCCGTGTCATCTGACATCATATGCAATCACTGGTTTTATTACCAAGTCCTCTGGAGCGTTAAAAGAATTCCTAGTTTGTTTGTTCCAGGGAGCTTATTTTGAGGCAACAGCTGAAAGTGCCATCAAATCGAACGCATGCACTGAGTCATCAAAATGCATGTTAGCAGCAAATTAGATTGAATTCAACTGGTGACAGAACGCTGGGATGGCATATAAATAGGCGGCCTCTGCCTCTGCCTCTGCCTCTGCCTCTGTGCTGACTCACCACGCAGTGCCGGGAGTGACACACATGCTGATCAGAGCACAAAGCATAGGAAAGTGTCCCTCGTAAGCGTAAATAAAAATACTCTCAGATCATACTGACTCAGCTGAGCCCCTAAACTCGAATGTTACTCCGTAACCAGTATCATGGGTAACTACTTTGTCTACACATGAGGTGTCTGTAACCCATTCAAAGCGAAGCAGACCGTGTCTAAAGGCTATTTTCTATCAGTATTCCAGATCTTGATGAAAGCCTGCTTCAGTTTTAACATTTTTAAACACTCCAGGTATGACTGGCATGTTTTCTGCTATGTCAGATTTAGGCTGTGTGATGACATGGGGTGAATCTCAATACCAAGAACTGAAACACCATACTTGTGGTCTTGGCAAGACCGCTCTCGCTAATTTACCTTCCAAGAACGTACTTGGGGCGCAATGAATCGTGGGATTTGTCTCGTTTGGTGTGGATGCAACTGATGCATCCTTGACATTTGGGGCGGAGCAAGACCAACATCTGGGGATGTTTCACCATCGTTGCGTACTTGTTTTCTTAGTATTGGAACTGGTCTTTGGCAATGGAAGATGACGCAAAATGGGGACACGAGAACAAAAGTATGGTCAAGTACGCATATTGAGATTCATCCACGGTCTGGCTTCTTTAGCCCCACCCCCTGAGCCTGTCTGATATGTATGTCACTTCCTGTCCCACAGAGCCGGGCCAACTGCACCACATCCACTGCCGCCCCCAGAGCTCCACCTCCATCTCCTGCTCGTGGAGCGCCCCAGAGTCTGACTACGACTCCTACGTCGTTGAGTGCATGCGGCGGAGCACACGTGTGGCGGTGTATGAGCAGCGCGTGTCGTGCAACACTACCCTCCACGTCATCGGCCAGCTGGAACCACACCGGCACTATACCATCTCTGTGCGGGTCGTCTCGGGCAGCGCTGCCAGCGAGGCAGTCGAGGACAGCGCTGTCACCATGATCGACCGTGAGTACCACCCAGCGGGAGCTGCCGTCCACACGGAAACTCTGATTCAGGACATCACCCATTGGCCTATATGCTACACCAAACATACATTTTAATTTACATCTTATTTCCCCTGAGTAACTTTGTTTATATCGATCAAACGTTGGAAGGCTGCACATATCCATCGCATCAATAGTAATACCTCTGTATATGACAGAATACATGAGCCTCTGGAGAATAAGCTTACCCTGAAATTAGATTGGTTTAATCCACTCCTCATTGTTTACTTTATTGGTTCCCATTTAGTTAACCCAGGTAGTCAATACCAATCTATACTAATCCCTTCCACCATGGGTTTTAAATTCTCATCGGCCCCATCGATATCCCATAGCCCTTTTACAATACCCCATTTAGCATGGACCACTCACAGTTATCATTTAGGAGGTCCATCAGAAGCAATGCTCCCCTACGCAAGCTCCTAGTTGGTATATCCCCTGGAGAACCAACCATCAACCCACAGACTATTTCAGTGGTAGCTTATAAAGATACTACCATAAACACAAGCACATCTTCAGAGTGACTCTGAAAAATAATAGCCTCTTAGAGACTTTACATTACTTTTTTAATGTTCCTCTGTTAATCAGTTTGTTCAAGGACAGGCACCAATGCAGCCTAGCCAGCCTGCTAGAACCTTCCCTGATAATGGTTGCCCCCTCTATCATAAATGATCTCTTTTCTGCTGACATCACAATGGTCGTGGATCGTTTTTATAAATTTGAGGGCAAAATGAAGGGGACTGTTCATCTGCAGTGATTGTTAATATGACCCAATAGGAATTAGCCTTCATCGATTCTGTTTTTACACTTTCATTAAAACCCCTCATTATCTTCCAGAGGTTTGCCCAAGGTGTGAACACCTTTCTCCCTACATCTGCCCTCCAGACCAATTCCTGTAGGCCACTTTCATGGGCACTTGTTTGATTTAGGCGATTTCCTCTCGTGAGTGGGACCAAACGGTCTGGGCCGTGTTTCACGCGCTTTTTTCAAAGTCTTTCGGCGTGGTTTCTACTCCAGTTCTGTCAGAATGATTTATTCACGGAGCAAGGAGACTGGAAAAGATAAAAAAAGATATTGAGGACAGAGCAGAGCTACTTTTTGGCCGTAACAAACACATTCCATTTTTGGTGCTTACGTGTTCTTCTGTTGTTTACAGCAGAAGGTTTATTCTGCTGATTAAATTTAATCCACAGCTGTTTAATGCGGAAAAGCTGCTAAAGTACAATTTTTATGTGTCAAAAATTATATTTCAAAGAAGTTGACAGGAGGAGGTTGCATGGTGATCAGGTGAATTCAGGGAAAGAGACAGGGAGGTCCTGCCTGTAATTGGTAAGGTGAGGTCCCTCCTTCTCCTGGTGGTGAACCCCACACCACAAGTCCAACATGGTGTGCTGGTTCTCCTCCTGCTCCCACTGGTTGCTGCCCAGTTGAGTTCTTTGATCTGTGCGCTGTGCCCCAGGTGAAAGTAAATTTCAAACGCAAAGGTAACTCAGCAATGAGACAGTGCTATGGCCTTTGCATCGTGAAGGTTTTTAATAAAGTTGTCTCCAAACCACACCTGGAAGTTGAGCCCCGGGGAAGTGTCGGGGGAGGGGGAGGCGAAATGCCACAGGTCGGGTGGGAGGAGGGATTTATGGGATCTGTATGACAGCGAGAGAACAGAATCCCAAAGCTTCTCTCCCCTTTCGGTGGAAATGCCACCGGTTTGGCAATAAGGGACTGGAAATATTTACAGCAAACAAAACTTGATCAGGGGAGACAGGCCGTATTATTCAGTAAGCTGTCCGAACACAAAGCTGATCCCAGAGCCTGTGTAGGCGCAAATGACCCTTCTATAGTTCCTCTGAAATATCTTCAAAGATTTATAAAAAAAAAATCATTCTCCCAGGAACCTGCCAGTATAGTATAGTATCGGTGGTATTATTTTGTTACTGGCTGGAAGTGTAGTGGGAAAAATACTGGACAGCATTATGTAAATGCTGTGATGTGTAATTCATCAGAATTACGGCTGTTTGTCGTGAGCCCAGGCTAGTATGCATGTCTGTGTTCCTTGCCCTGCTTTTGAAGATGTCGTTATGTCAGTAATCAGTAGAGCTGCCAATCTGGTTTTAAAAAAGGGAAAAAAGTGGCTGAGCAAAGTAGCTGATTCCTGGGTAGAGGAAGCCTCTTCAGATCAAAGCAACACTTCCCCGAGGACCCCCCCCCCCCCCGATTCAGCCTTGTCACTGAATGGCCAGTAACATCTGCATTTCTGCATTGATCCTGCTGTGAGTTTTTCTCACCTTGCCGCAACCGACCATCTTACTGCCCCAGCATCCTGTGCCTTGTACTCCTCAGTGGCCAGAAGTTGCCCAGTTTGTTCCCCCCCCCCCCCCCACCCCAAATCAATCCACCCCCTGCTTTCAACCCACACCCAACAGAAAGAGGGTTACCGGAGTTTGATTGACACGTGTTCGCAATTAAAACACCCAGAGTTGCTGTCATTCAGAGGCACCGTCGGTTTACCTTGCCGAACAAACAGCCCATCAGAGCGAGGCGTCAGGATGCCAAGCATCAGACATTAATGAAGCCATTTCATCCAGTGAATTTCAGTTATTTCATCTGCCTCCACCCCCTCGTAGTGATGACACTGAGCGAACAGCATCGGAACAAAAAGGTACATTAGGGTACCGTTGAATGACCATTTCTTGGAGCAGGCAGGTACAAATTGCAATAATTTAAGTACTGTAATGGAGGGAAAAGTGAATATTGGTGTGCTAGGTTTGCGGGAGAGCACAGCAACAGCCTGCCAATGGAGTGTGATGGGGGTAGTGGTACCAGCATGTGGAAAAGCATGCTGACTGAGTCTCAGGGGTGTATACAGGGGCGTGGCCAGAGGGGCACTGGCCCAGCTGAATTTTGATTGGTCCCTATTATTCATTGATTCAAAACATATTATTGGCTAATTATAAAGGTTGGCCCCTCTGTATGATTTATGGCCCCTCTTATGTCCCCCTTCCCACCTTAAAAAAATTCTAGAATTGCCCCTGCTGAGTCTTTCTGCGCTTTGTCTTGCTAAGGACCCCCCGTGCCGCCGTTCACCACTCGAATTGGCGAGGCGGTCACCCACATCACTCAGTCCGGCATCTCCTTCCAGTTTAACTGCAGCTGGTTCAGTGACGTCAACGGGGCCATCAAGTTCTTCGCCATCATCGTGACAGAGTCGGACGGTACAGCCCACCCGCCATCACCCCCCCACCCCACCTGGCACGCGGCGTCTTTTCTGTGCCGCTGCTGGAGTTTTGCGGTGGCCTAGATTTCAGCAATTTGCATCATTCGGCTCATTTTCTGTCCTTTTAGTTTGCATCTGATTTGTCGAGCATGAATTACACTGTAATCTTTCTGGCTGGCTTCAGTCTAGATAATTTTTTTCTGGAATGAAATGTGTTCCTGTTTTGTGGAAAAAAAGCTTACAACAAGACTGAATGTACCCCTTTTAAAGCAAGCATATTCCCCATTTAGGTGACTGAGATTTTCCCACAAATCCCATAAACTCTTCTTAATACAGTCAGTCCCATGCACAATTTAGGTGACTGACACTTTCCCAAACAGACCATGCACTCTGCTTACAGTGATCAGTCCTGTCCACAGTTTAGTGACTGGGACTTTCCCAAACAGACCATGCACTCTGCTTGCAGTGGTCAGTCCTGTCCACAGTTTACGTGACTGACACTTTCCCAAACAGACCATGCACTCTGCTTACAGTGGTCAGTACTGCCTACAGTTTAGGTGACTTAGACTTCCTCTCACTCTCAGCCACAGACACTGAAAGCTTGCAGCCAGACCAACAGCACCCGCTACCCGCCTACCTGGACTACAAGCACAATAGCTCCATCAAGGCATACCAGACCAGATACTTTCCCAGCCGCTGCACGGCGGACCCAGAGAATGGTGCAGAGGGCATCGAGATCAGCCTGGGAACTGGCATGGATGTCCTGGGAGGGAGGTGTGATCTGGATCCTGATCAGAACCAGAACACCTTCTGTGATGGGCCACTGAAGCCCAAGACAGCCTACAGGTGCCTCGACATTGCGGCTCAGATTCAAAATACAGTGTATTCTAGGACATATTCTTATCCCATTCTAATATTATTTAACAGGAATGACTTTAAATGTGGGTGGCACTAGTTCCTCACACTTCCAGGGTTTTGGGGATCAGACCTCGCTGCCACTCTGTGTGGAGGCGTTACAGTCTCCCCATGTGACCAGGGTATCCCCTGTGAAACAGTAGCGTCCCATCCAAGGTGTCTCCTGCCTTGGGCCCTGGGCCCCCTGGGATAGACTCCAAACACACCATGACCCTCAGTAGGATAAGTGGGCAGAAGACAAATGAATTTAATTGCAAAAATTATTTGGACTAAATTCAAAACTCCCCAAATTGGGTTGGGCCAACCTTGGGTGGGTGGGGTGGGGGCTGTTTGATACAATGTATCAGTGCTTCTGCCATGTCTTTGTGTGGCCATGTTTGTATAACATGGAAGTTTAATATAAATATGTAATTCTCAGGGAAAACCCAATTGTGAATGAAACTCAGAACTTCCATTCTGCTTAGATAACATGACAAGCTGGCAGGGTGGGCCGTGACTGTTTTTAATGGGCAGAAGTCTTTGAAAATGGGTGGGAACAAGACAACAGAGATGCTGAAAACAGTGAGGCCCCGTTGCAGTGTATGACGGACGCTTGTTTTGTGCCCCCTCAGGCTCAGCGTCCGTGCCTTCACGCAGCTCCAGGATGATGAACAGAAGGAGACACTTCAGGCTCTGTACGCAGACACCTTCCTCTCCCTGCCCCTGGTGACCGAAGCTGGTGAGTCCATTAATTCCAAGTCAGCATGGATGATCCAGGAAAGCTTGCTTAGAGATTTGGGCCTGCTGACTGGATGCAGGAATCCATCTGCTAGCAAGGAGCAAACTCTGCTGCCGTGTTTATTTACTTATTTGACTTCAAAATCGATGTTCTAGCCACTGGTCATGTCAACATTTTGTGCGTCACACCACAAGGGGGCAAAGTTCAATTAGGCCGTAATCCTTTCAAAGGTCCTTCAGTCCATGAAGTGAATAGTTTGGGCAACATATGTTGTTTTTATTCACCAAGTATGCTTCTTTGACAATCAGAGCCTCTCAATGGAGTCATCGAGGGCATTGGCGCCGGAATGTTTCTCATCGCTATGGTGATTGGGGTCACTGCATTGCTTATCTGCCGGCAGAAATCCCGCAAAGTGTGAGTTTCCTGTTGTTTCCGGAATGACAGACTTATACCCATTTCTCTCACGATAGTTCAACAGCTTTACCTCTAGTGACGATACGGTATTTGTTTAGCTCAAATCAGCACATTTTGCATGCTTTTTATGTATTTCTGCTCAGTCATGAATTTTTGGAAGTGTAGGACGGATTATGACATCACTTCCTGTTGTCTTTCTTTTGTCGTAGATCTCAAGTGTCAGTAGCCGGTGTTCTCTTGCCTTATAACAACGGCATGGTATGGAACAATCCCAGCTACTGTGATTACCGGAATGTACAGGAGCGCCCTCTGGTCCGAATGAACTCGCGGAAAGACAAGCCCACACCAGGGATGGTCCTGGGCGTCAGAAGGTAAAAGAGCAGGGGCGTTATTGTTGGCATTAGTAGCCAGTGCTGGCATCACAGTGGGATTCTGGGCTGTTGTGTTACACGGAGCATAACGTCCTTTCAGCGGCTTACAGTTAATCCATAAAGAGTATGTTTCACTCAGTCAGATGACACTAGACGGACAGCGCCACTTCAAAGTTAAATCCCTCCGCCCAAAAAACTAGTCCCTGTTTGTACTCGTGTATTGAAGGCTTATACCTACCATTAGTTACAATTCAAGATGAGCATAACAGTTCCCACTAATATAACCAACTTCCCATGTGATACGGTGATCAACTGGTCAATTACAGTGAGGGGTCTCCACAAAAAGCATCACTCTCCTTTGTGAGGTAATAGGAAGTCTATAAGTGTATAGAAAGATTAGCGTTATATATTCAAGTCAAATTCCAAGTCATTTATTCACTAAATGAACCCCTCAGTTTACTGTAGCCTTCTGGATGACTGCTCTCAGCATGTAATTCAATGATGCCTTCGCCGTGTTGCATAAACCCATCGTTTTATGTACTCAACTTCAACGACTCTTAGAGGCAAGTTAAGATTATTTGCTAATGGTAGGAAGGATATGGGGCCTTTTTGCCTGTGTAAGATAAAGGAAATCAATTTTACCAGAGCACAGATCCTAATCAACACTTTTCCCCGTTCTTTGCAGCAATCGTCGCATTTCAAGGTATGCCTGCTTTCGCTCCATTTGAATGGATGTAATTTAATGAACGCTTTGTTCTTAGTCTCAGGCTATTACGTTTTTTTTAACGTAGTCCTGCTTTTCCTCACAGCCCCATCAAAGCTGCTTACTTCGAGTACCACCTTGCCAAACTGCTGGCTGACTCCAGCTACTTTCTCTCTGAGGAGTTCGAGGTAGGAGATGCCGTAAGGCATGAGGATTCGCCGTACCTCTTTGGTGCCCATACTCCTTAATGACATTGTTAGTCACCCAAACCCCCATTAAATGCCACTTCCCCTATAGGACCTGAAAGACGTTGGCCGAAACCAGTCACTCGACACAGCTCTCCTGCCTGAAAACAGAAGCAAGAATCGCTACAACAACATACTGCCCTGTAAGCGTGTCTCTCCGCCCAATTTACACCACATGATTTACACCACCTGATTTACACCACCCGATTTACACCACCAGATTTACACCACCCGATTTACACCACCTGATTTACACCACCCGCAGACACATTTCAGATGGAGCCCATCAGGCCTTGTCTTGCAGTACTCGATTCGGGAAGTGTGAGCGGATTTCGTGAGCGATGCATGATGGTCTTTCAACAGTTACGCCTTTTAAATAGAACTAGAGCCCAGCTTCCAGGAGTTATGTCTAAATGCCAGCTGCATGCTCGATTTCCATAAAAATGAGCCCTGTCCTTTTTCATTTTCATGCTTTTTTTCCTTGAAATGTTAAATCTGGTTCTGAATCTGCATTTAGCGCCTCTAACACAGACTTCCACTTGTGGAAGACAAGCATCCATGACAAGCAATCCGGTGTTTTTTTTTTTTTTTACTGATGAACATCTTTGGATCTTTGTAAGAGAGTCGGTCGGCTCTCCTGGTGGAATAATTAGTATTCCGCTTTGCAGTTGCGTGCATTTTAAAATTCCGAGCCTTCCGTGGAGACATCGCCGGTGTCCGCCGTCATCACCCGCGACTGGATAATGTCCTCCGCAGTTCGTTTGGTAGCCCTGTTGTTCACGTACAGAGCAGCTTGCTTTTTTTGCCTAGAAGCCAGCCAATCGATGTGCACCGACACGGGTGACACAATTTAACCCCGTCTCACATCCCCCTCCCCCCCCGTCTAGACGACTCTACGAGGGTGAAGCTGTCCTACGTGGACGATGACCCATGCTCCGATTACCTCAACGCCAGCTACATCCCGGTATGTGGGCATCTGCTCCTGTTTGCTTATATCTCTGCTTCCTCAAGCCCAACGGGGCTGAGTTACAAGAGCTCAACTGCAGGAAGGAGCCTTAAGTAAGATTACGGACCATTCTGCCATTTCATGTTCGATCCAGACACATAAAATGGCACGAATAACGTACGATTGGGTTAGTCCCTGGCTTATCCATGATCATTTCTGCCGGCCAGCTCCACCACTCTATGGCAACCTACATCTGCTAACACCTGCTAATTCCCGGAGATCCATTGGCAGAGATCTTGGCTCTTCCCTGGGACCTGGCTGTTCTGACAGACCGCATGGCTCCGATTTGAGCACCGTTACAGGATTATTTCAATGGGGCGCCACTGTAAGAGTATAGATACCAACAGCTGGAAGATATCAAATCAAACATCAGCATGGGCCTGGGAGCAGCTGTAGTCATTAAGCGCTTATCGTTCCAACTATTCTTATATTGCTCGAAGACCATCAGCCTTGTTTAATTGACTCCAAGGTTACAGGCATATATCAAAAAGCAAGAATGCACAGTTTCACTTAAGCGACACAAGCAAACATTCTGTTCAGACATCTGTAAAGTACAATACTGTGCAAAAGTCTGAGGCAGTCAAAGAAAATTATGTTAAAATGATCTTGTTTCGTGTAAAACTGTGATAGCATGGCGGTCAAAGTAACAAGGGCGTTAGTGTTAGCCATTTCAAAACCACTCCTGCAGTTACTCCAGTATTTGCAGTAACCATCCAATATAGCCGTACATCTGTTGACTCAACCACCAACATATCATGTTTGGTCTCATCAGATCATTTAAATAATTAAGCTAACTAATTAAGTGAGCTGGTGGTGAAATTTAATGAATACAAGGAATGACTGGTATTCCCTGCCTTGTGCCCTGCGATGGGTTGGCGTCCCGTCCTGGGTTATTCCCTGCCTTGTGCCCTGCGATGGGTTGGCGTCCCGTCCTGGGTTATTCCCTGCCTTGTGCCCTGCGATGGGTTGGCGTCCCGTCCTGGTTTATTCCCTGCCTTGCAACTGTAGCTTCCGAGATGTAAGAGGCTCTGGACCCCCCACAGCCTTGAATAGGATAAGTGGGTACAGAAAATGGATGGATGGATGGATGGATGGATATACACTTAATACCTAAATAAATAGCTTTAAACACTTACTTAGCAACCAGATTTAGAGCTTTAAATATTTTTTGACTGCCTAAGAATTTTGCGCAGTTCTCCACATATCAAAAGAGTTAATAATTGTTCTTGATGAATTGACCCCCACCCCAAATTTGCTTTTAGGGCAACAGCTTCCGGCGGGAGTACATCGCCACCCAGGGCCCATTGCCTGGAACCAAGGACGACTTCTGGAAGATGGTGTGGGAACAGAACGTGCACAACATCGTCATGGTGACACAGTGTGTGGAGAAGGGCCGGGTAAGTGAGGGGGGAGGGGGGGGGTCACGGGAGATTCAGTATTTCTCGCTGTATCAATGTGGGAGAGAAAAAGGTCACGCAAGATGGGGCTGGAAGGAGGAGATCCAGATAACAGCGCTTCCTTTCAGACCACGATGAAAGAGACGCGTCCCAGCCAGCCCCCCCCCCCCAAGTCTGAGCCTCACCGGGGGCTGGCCGCTATGAATGTGTCTGACCGTGCGGGCTTCCCTTCCCGTTCCATTTCAGGTGAAGTGTGACCGGTACTGGCCTGTGGATCAGGACGCCCTGTATTACGGAGACCTCATTGTCCAAATGCAGTCCGAGTCGGTGCTGCCCGAGTGGACCATTCGTGAATTCACCATCTGCAACGTGAGTGCACCCACCCCCTGACCCCTGGCCCTTCCGTACGATACCTGTGAGGAACCGAGCTTTACACTTCTCCCCTTCCTGCTGATTTCTGTTGGTGTCTTTACTCTATAACCATGATTTGCCTTGTGGTTACTTCTATTGGACCATTGACATGGGATCCATACTTGTGTATTGATAAAAATCCAACAGGCACTTTATTTTCAGGATACCAGATACACAGTACCAGCCAAAAGTCTGGATACACCCGCTTTTAATGCATTTCTCTCTATTTCAGTGATGTTAAAGTAAAAGGTCTCGAGGCAATAAATACCAGATACTGCAACAACCAAGAGAAGTGTAAAATTTTCTCCAAACAGCATGCTTTTGCTCCACTGACACCATTGCAGTCTCTTGGCATTCTTTCAACCAGCTTCCAGATGTAGCCACCTGGAATGCTTCTCCTACAGTCCTGAAGGAGTTTCCACAAGTTCTGGGCACAAGTTGGCTACCTTGCTCTTACTCTTTGATCCAACTCTTCCTAATCCAACTCTATAGGGTTTAGGTTGGGCAATTGTGGGGGTCATCTGTTGCAGCATTCCATGTCTTTCCTTGATCTCAAGATAGTTCTTTCTACATAACCTCGAAGTGTGCTTAGGGTCATTACCTAGTTGAAAAACAAATGGTTTTCAGTAGGTGTGTCCAGAATTTTGACTGGTACTGTAAGTACTGCAGTGGAAAAGTAAAAAGGAACTACTTTGGTGAAAATAAGATGGTTGAGGGACTCCACTCTGCCTGCTGCAGGAGGACCAAGTGAGGTACTCCAGAGTTGTCCGGCAATTCCATTACACCGTCTGGCCTGACCATGGCGTCCCAGAGACAACGCAGTCGCTGGTGCAATTTGTGAGGACCGTCAGGGACTACATCAACCGCACGCCCAGCTCCGGTCCTACTGTGGTGCACTGCAGGTGCGTCTATTGTCATACTCCCCTGCCTGTAGGGGGCGCCATAGAGACAGCCTGTTTAAGCTGCCAATTTCCATGTCAGGAGAAGGTGACTGACTTGTCCTCAAACAGAAAGACGGAGTCGCAGATAAAAAAGAAATGTTTACTCTGGCTTGTGTGTTTGTGTGTTCGTGTGGTGTTAATATTTAAACACCCCCAGTCTTTCATATCCAAGGGTTGCAACCCCCCTTCCCCAGCCCCCAGGAGACCGTGCTTTCGTCTGTAGTGGATTTATTGGATCTGAGCCCTGCCGCTGTGTTTATTACCCCCCCCCCCCCCCACTCCGCTTTTATTATCTTTCAAGCACAACACTACTCTCCCTCCTACGCCAAAACCTGCCAGGCAAGATCAGACATTCTCGGACAGCCTGGTCCCGGAGAAGACAGGAACTTGCTCTGGCCGTCTTTGGGCTGGGACCGTCAGCTGAAAGTCCCTCTTGCTGTTTTTGTGTCACACATCAGCCATGCATGGCGGGAATCACGCATGGTGACAGCCAAACAGACGTCACCAGGGTCCCAACGATATACACAGCAGTGTTCGAGGGGCTTGGATACCCTGGCAGATGAAGGGGGCCCGCACTTGACAGGGGCCCTTGAATATGTAAAATTATACATAAAATTGGGGGGGGGGCAAGGTGACGTCTTGTCAGGATATAGAAAAATATTTTTTCGGGGGGGTTGAAACAAAATATAGGGTCTAAAACCGTCAATCGTCACGCCGGTTACGTAGGTGTGCTCAAGGGCCCGTCTCGTACCCAAAGCCCATTTCAAGGGCCCGTCTCGTACCCAAAGCCCATTAATGGATGTTCATCAGGAGCCTCAATGACGAGGAATTCTGTCGTGTGTTAACATGCTGCAGGCTTGTCAACAGGGGCGTCCTCGATATTTAGGAAATATTGGTGCTGTGCTTTCCCCTTTGAGCAGTCATATTTTCCATTCGGCCCCCAGCTCACGGAGCCCCCGTCTCCAGAAGGCATCGGAAAGCCGTTAACACTGCAGCCAACGCACCTTTCAAGCCTTTTATCCCATAAAAAAACTAAATTAAATGGGTGACATATTTCCAGATTTTTACCGGCCAGCATAAAACATTTTGCCAAGGTTAATTAAATTGGACAATAGGGCTGACTGTAGCGGTAACATGATTAACTTTCTACATCGCGATGTTCTTTCCTGTCAGACTTAATGAAGCATATTCAATAGCGTGGTATTTATGATGTAAGCGTTTGTATTTATGCCTAGTGAGTAAATAGTTATTGACGCTCATTCTGTTTCTGTGACTGTGTGAAGCCTATTACAGCAGAAAATAAGGTGGTAATGACCTCAGGCAGAGAAGTGGCGCTTATCTGGGAGACAAGCATCGGCTAAGGATCGTATCTGGTGCCAGGTTTTCTCAGTCACTTGAGCAGAACCCCCCTGATACTGTGATGCAGTGGGACACTGTACTCTTCACCTTGGCCTTAATCCCACTCATAACATTACATTGCATTACATTATAAGCCTTGTCTGCTCTCGCTCCCAGTAAACAGGGCCGCCTTGTCATCTTGGGCATGTTTGTCTTCCTGTTGCCCCATTTTTGTCCCCTGCCTTGTGTCCCCCACTCCAGGTTCCCCTCACTACTCAATCTGAAGCACCCCTTATGTCTCTCTGTCTCTCTCTCTCCCCCATCTCCTGCTCTCTCTCTCTGCTTTGATCTGAACTTGTCTCCAGTTCTCCATCTGTTGCTTTTTGTTCCTGAGATCACAAAATAAAACCTGTAGTTATTAAAGTTAGATAGTTATTCTTTAAATGTATTACATTCATGTTTTACATTTTATCGCTGGTTTTCCTTTACATATGTCTGTTTTGCACTTTTTCTTTCATTGCATTTATTTCCATTTGTTGTATTTTATTTCTTCTCTGTGCTACTAGACAAAGAAATATCCCCCCCAGGGATCAATAAATTTCTATCTTCACCTTAATCTTAGTGAAACAGTAATCCATGTGTAACTTTGGCCACTACTTCCACATTTCCTCTGACACCAAATGGTTTCAATAGTTTTCTTTTTAATAATACTTTTTAATAGTTATTAAGCTTGGCAATGGTCAGCACGGTGGTCTAGACCTTTAAAGCCGACACACCTGAAATGACGCTTGGGCACCTCATTAACGATGGATTGTGGTCACAGCGCCGGAGTGGGCCGAACCGGCACCTTCATCGCCCTGGACCGGGCCCTGCAGCAGCTAGACGCTAAGGACACGGTGGACATCTACGGCGCTGTGTTTGACCTCCGGCTGCACCGCTCCCACATGGTCCAGACCGAGGTGAGGATGGGGTCGCGGTCTGGCTCGTAACTGGGGCGGGGTCTTAACAGAAGGTTCTGCCCCAGGGAGATGAGACCGTCTGCCACCCAGACGCCTTTAACAGAACCTAAAACCCCTGGATGTAGCAGGGAATATAAATGAGTCAGTAAGAAAAATATATACTCTTAAAAGCCGTACATTTTCAGCAAGTTTTAAGGCGTATTAATGCGTTTTAAGTACTGGAGCGAGCAAGTCTGCAAAGGGAAGCTACTTAATTCATTAAGAGTGCCTGAAAATTCACAGGGCTGCAGTTAAAAGGAATAGACAGGCCACTGCTTAATGTCTTAGTGAGCTACAGCGCTAACAAGGAACAGAAAAGCAGGGGAGGTGTCACGCCTCTTCCACAGTCTCAGCCCCATTAAATGCACACCCCCTCCCCCACAGTGCCAGTACGCCTACCTGCACCAGTGCGTGCGGGACGTCCTAAGAGCCAGGAAGCTGCGGCACGAGCAGGAGAATCCACTGTACCCCATTTACGAGAACGTGGGCCCGGACTTCCGCCGTGGTAAGGACTGCCCCCCCACCAGTGATCGGGGTAAAACGGGGACCCAGCACATGACCTTTCTAAGAATGACACTCATTTACACTGTACTGTGAAATCTGTCTCCTCCAGAACTGGTGTACACCAGACGCTGAAGCAGCCAGCACGCCCCAGCGAATGAGGAACCTGCTTTCACAGCGAGGCACGCAGGAAGTTTTTATATCAACCTGCAGTTATTTTTATGTATCAAATGTACGCATGGTTTCCCAGCATCTCTCAGTAGCTGTTTAAGCTATTTAAATATAAGATAGTATTGTATATCTGCATCTCATATATTTATATATATTTTTCCACATGTGCTATTCTCTGGGTTCACACCAGTCTTTTTTTCATATAAGCTAGTACATTTGCACGTAAGCCAAAATGACTGCCTAAACTTACCAGAACGCAGACGAAAGACAAGTTAGGATGTAAACGAATTAACGGCTGAAACTGTCCAGATGGATCGAACACAGAACAAAGCCATTGCCTTCAAGCACTTATAACGTACAAGACGATCTCAGAATATAAACGCAGACAAGCAGACTCTCATTGTGTTAAATTTAGCATTCTGTCAAATTTACCTTGTTAAAAAAAAAAAATCAAATTTGCTTAATTGCATGCATCATTTTTGTTGATACATCACATAATTCCAGTGATGTATGGCCTAACAGAATCTCACCCAGGAGAGCAGAAGATATACTGAAGATATACCATTTGTTCCTGAGCCTGGTTAGCATTTCCTGTTACTCATTCTGCACTTTATAGTGCAGGAAATTCTTCACCAGCTCATTACCGGTGTATTTTATGACACATTTATATAAAAAGAAAAGAAATCCCACCAGTTCCTTACAAGTCCCATTTTCTGCTTAATGTAACACAGAAATATCTCTCCATGTACAAATATATGTATCCAAGCTACCAAGCTCTCGGCAGACATCTACATAACTATTTAAAATATCTATTGTGCCCCAATAACAAGCTTTGTTTTATTCTGTGAGAGAAATTAAATGCAAAAAACTTATCAGTCTTGCCCTGCTAATGCAGATTTTCTGTCTATTTTACGATCTAACCATTCCAGAGTTAATGTCAGTGCCTATTATTCCATTATAAATGCACTGTGAATTCCTAATTCATGGGCCTGTGGTTTGTCAGGACTCCCTGGTTACATGGTTACATGATCTCTTTCGCTGGTTAGTTGGTGTAGAAGGGGACAGCTTTTGACAATCAGACTGTGGAAAAGGGTTTTATAGAACTTTTTTTTTATATAGAAGAATGAGATCTTGAGTTACTTCATAACTTAAAAAACAGCACTGAGTGAAGCAATCGCTCATGACTCATGAGTCACATGCACATATATTATTGTGGGGATGGTGTGTGTGGCTCAGTGGGCTAAGCCTCCGTGCCTGTGATTAGTAGGTTGCTGGTTCATGCGTGGCCTCGGCAGAATAGTCACATGTCTGAGGGCTGTGGAGTGAGGCCCTTAACCCCCAGTTCCCTGGGCACCACAAGGTGGCTGCTCCTTGCTGTGACCCCCCCCCCCAAGCATATACATCATTATTGGTATGGAATCATCATCAAGTCATGCTCTAATATTCTTCCAGAGTAAACACTCATGAATGGGGCATAGCTAGAAATTCTGCCCCCCCTCCCCCACAAACCACCTTATGCGGGGGGGCTGAATCAGCCAGGGTCTCCATGCCCCTCCAATACCTATGCTGACATGCACATATATTTTTATATCATAAAAGATATGGAATCACTAAGTCCAGTGCAAATATTCCATCAAAGTAAACATTCATGAGTCACATGCACATGAAGTATTACATCGTACAATGAATGAAATCGCAGACGAGTCACATGCAAATATAGCAGAACACATTGTGCCGTAAAGGACAACACAAAATTACACCAGTCAGTACTCACTGGATGTATTTCCAGCATCATGTTTGTGTAGTAGATATTTAAGAGAGATTATATGTAAACTGTAGCATATATAATCATAGCTGTTATAAACTGCATTTAAAAATGATTGCTAGAATGTGCATAACGTGTTGATACACAGTGTATCGTTTAACATTTTATGCAATAGATTTATTGCAGGCTAAAGTGGACAGATGAAGTTACTGCTTCAGTAAAAAAAGTACTTATTTTTATATAAGAGTAAAAATACAATAAAAAAAAAACATTTCAAAAGGAAAACAAAAAAAAGAACACAGATATATATGGTTAATGGAATATAAACACTTAAAGAACTATATGCGGGACTTAAGGTAGCGGAGACTTGCGTGCATTATAAGGGACCACTTGAAATTCCTAAATGCATTTTGAAATGTGAGATTAAATTACAGAATGCAGAGATATGTACATTTGCCTTATGGAGACTAATATCTGTATCTTATTTTAACAATATTTTAACAAATATTTTACCTACATATCAAAATGCATATGTGCATTCACATGTTTAATCTGCTTGGCATATTATCTTTGAACATTAATGACATCATCTATAGTTGCCCTTTAATAACTGGATTGGCAGGTTGGCTTTGTTTACCCATCACCCCAGGGTCCTTTCCGACTGCCAGCTTTGATGGCCTAATCCACAGGGGCAGAGTGGAAGTTTTTAACCAATTTACCGATCAGAAATATCCTGCTTTTTGAATTGCTAGCTTCCTAAATGTGGTGCTCATTGTAAACCATGTATTCTGTTTTGTCGCTCAAGTGAGCTCTTAATTAGGCTTGGTTAAGATACTGAATAATGCCTGTATTGCACAACTAAAATCATGTAACGGAACAGGTTACTCAAGAACCAGACATTTCTCATGTTATCCAATAAAGAAACTAAAATTTGTGCTAATAAAATATATTCTCTGCATGTGATCGTTTATCAAACTATAGCAGAACGCAGTTTACAAATGGGAATGTATTATATACATCAATTACTCAAGGTCAGCAGATGAATACTGAACTAGTTGAATATTGAATATTTGAAAGATTAGTCAATAATGAATCTTAATTTTACCATATTTAAAACACTATTTAGAGCCATTTGTTGTTGTAATGGTTATTACAGAAACCAGTGTGGTCCAGAGTCATCAGCATGCTGCCGTTAATCACAATCATTAAAATTTAAGCATCTCATTCACCTAAAGCACAGTCAGGCCTCATTAAGAGCTTCACAGTACTTAAAGCTAAGCTAACAAGGAGCAGGATTTATATAGCTAACGATGCGTACTGACACCTATGTATGCGATACATAGAAATGCCTCCCATATATGTATTATATATATATAAACAGAACTTCAGAATTAGGAAACTGCCCCATATTAGAGAGTTCATATTTCTGATTGGCTGATGTCCTCATAATTGGACTTCTGTATTAGGTGAATGTGTTGACGCTTTAAAAAGTGTGTGACCTTTTTTGGTGGGGTCACGCCGCTGGTGTAATGTGAAACGGACAGAACAGGCAAACTGTCAAGAATATAGCTGATTTTAAGAAATGCTTTACACTGTCTTGGAAGCAGATATGTCACAGAGGATGGCATCCAGTTTCCATAATGTAACAATCTATGTACAGTATGTTACATATTTCCACTCATTTCAATGTTCTATGAATGTTATTAAAATAACGGCCAGTTGATGCAATTGACTGTTTCTTTCATTTACATGTAAAAAGGAAGGGGAGGTCGTAGGCCTAAAGCTTTTCACATGCCTGCCGGCATTTCACACGTCCCGTAAATAGAGGTTTTTTGCTCGATGCCTTGGAAGTGCAAGATAAACCTCATAGCGCATTTCCCCAGCTCCGCTGGCCGTGACCTCATGCTGATAAACACACCCTGGCCCCGGTCCAGTGCACAGGCTGTTCTTTTGGAGTCCCAAGTGCATTTGGGCATTTTTCATTTCAAGGCCCCTTGTCTCACAGGGTCACTGGTTTATACTGACCTATGGCTTCAAGTCTTCACACACAACACATTTTACACAAATACTGCTGTTTAGAAAAAAATATGAAATTCAAAACGCTTAATTCATTCATCTCAACATACTCTACATTTTCAGCCGGACAAAGTTTTTGCAAACTCAAGTAGCAAGAAAAACTTTTTAATTCATAGCCCTTGAGTGAACAGTTTGTGAAACACCCACAAATTTTTTTGGATGAGTATTTTACTCATTGATGGCCAAACACATGAAGGTCCTGAATGTTGGCAGGGGGTTGATGTGCTGCCTTCGTACCACGTACACACACAATGCCAGTTAGATTCAGGTCTAGTCTTTGACTGCACTAACATTTACTTTGTCTCTCCATTCCTTGGCTTTGCTTAGGGTCATTGCCAACTAAAGGTTGCACAGTGTCAGGTGCAGAACAAAATCACTAGGGGTGCATCTGAAATTAGGGAGAGGGCACGAGCCCCGTAACCATGTTTCAGTCTGGAGTGGTCGTCTTCCACCTGAGAGTGTACATTATTCATTTGAGGGTGTTATGCACTCTTAGGCACCCCAGTCAACCTGAATCTGGGGTGGTGAATCTTCTCTCCAGTGACGAGCAGGATCCATCCACACGTCATAATCTTCTAAGGCCTGGCTTTGTCTGCAGCTGCTGTCACATCATCTCAGCGTCTTTGGGGGAATCCACTCTGGGTCTTCTGAAGTACTCTTGAGTCGCTCAGACCTAGTTTTGAGGGCAGTCTGACCTAAGCAGGATCTTGATAGTTGCCTTTACCAACCACGGCCCTGACAGTATAATGAGATATTCAAGGGGATAAAATACTCATATAGCCTTTCCCCTTCAATCTATAACCTCAGTAAGACTTTCAATCGCTGCGTGTCCTGCATGGTTCATTTCACTGAAACAGAAACGGTACAATTTTTCACCCAGGACTAAATCAGCTGGGTGACAATGAATGGATAGAGGTCGGGTCTATTTAACTTCTGCTTCCATTACAATAGGTTTCAACTTCTTTGTGCTTGATTTGACTTATTTAATCGTTTTTCTTTTTTTGGTTTTTATTATACATTCCTTCTGCTACTTTTCGATGAGTTTTTCATTTTTTTTTCCTCATTGAAATAATGAGAATCCAATTGTGTGGATCAATGCCATTAGAATTGTAACATTTAGGTATCAGAATTTGAACAGACTTTTTAAAGGTATTACCAGTATCGTAACCCATTATTGCTCAGAGGAAACTGAATTATGGGGAACCTTGAAGTCACACAGTGCAGGAGGCTTTAGTGAAGACGTGCTTACGAAGGCACGGCAATATAAGAAGACTAATGTTGTCATTTGTATCCTACTGGAGTAAGAGGAATAGAGGATGTCCTCCACTCCCCAGCCAGCAAGCCAGGGCTCACCTGACACTAAGCACCAAACGGGGAATTCCCACAACCCTTTCCCTCTTTCTCCTGGGAATCATCAGCCAATGGCAGACAGATGTATCCCTGGGGCTCCATGCTGGCATGCAGAGAGAGTGACTTTCACCAGAATTACTTACGGACCTGAATCTTCCCATTTCTTGATCGCTATTAGCTTAGCACTGCAGCGTTTTCAGCCAGAAAACTCTTTAAACCGACTCTTTAAACTGAGGCACGCTCAGTGACTGGGATTAGCAAACCAGTACACACACCCATTGTGGCTCACATAAATTCTGAACGCATTATTCCAGCTTGTCTGTTGTTTACATCAACAGAGCCAGCAGTGGAAAAAATATAATATAAAAATATATATTTTTAAAAACAAGTCTCAGTCTTCAAGGCAGGGATTACATTTTTTGACCTGAAGCCAATGGAGAACAACAAAACGAATTCTGTTTCAAAACACCAATAGAAAACATTCCTTCCCCCATAATAAAAGCAGATCCGGGATTATAACGGAAAATCAGTGATTAGCAAAAGCAGTACTTGGGTCCTGATACTCAAGATAAAAAAAACTGCATTAAGCTTAAGCCACAACAGACAGACTCGCATAAAGCTGAGTAATACAGCACAAAAATATCATTTCTTTTTGTCAGAGAGATTTCACATTTCCCATCCCATTTTCTCAATTTAGTTATGGTATCAGGAATCCAAAGCTTCTCAGTAAGAAGATAAAAAGCAGTTCTAGCTAATGACAGAATAATAGAGGTCACCAAGGTCATTGAACTTGCAGTCACTAGATTAAACTGGGAATCCGTGCAATCCTCTTGTTTAGCATTTTCAACTCTCGAATTCCAATTCCTGAGTTTTTTTTTTTTTTTTTTTTTTTTAAACTTACCTAAATTTCAATGAATACAGATGAGCTGAGGGTATTGAACATAAAACATCCCGGGGCTGCTGGCATTCAATTGAGTGACAGTGGATGAAATAACTGCTGTGACCACTGTGACGTTTTACTTTCGGATGGTGGCCGGGTCTGTCTCGTAAGTGAAGCGGGGGTCCTCGTGAGCTCTAGTGAGCTGTGGTGAATGTGAACTGCAGTTTCACACCAGCAGTCTATTTTTATAAATATATAAATCTGACAGCACCTTGCTTGCACTTCTTAATCTAAACAATATATTTTGGATTAGGATTATGTTTTTTTCACCCCTCCTCCCCCAAATCTGCCCTGGATATTATGCAGGGAGGCATTATGGTGATTTAATCTGCTCTCCTGTCGCTGCTATGTTTATTTTTCATGCTGTAAACTGGGCACATGCTTATGGTCCTGATGCTCCTCTCTCTCCTCACTTCTGAGTAATTTTTCCATTTAAATGCAACATTACACTTCAATGTCTCACTCTCCTCAAATAAAGTGCAATTTTAAAGTACAGAATGTTTTTTTATACTCCTTCACGGTAAGCAAAATTTTGACAGACTAGAATTGTATTATTTTCAATGAATGTTTCACGGCAAAAAATACAATCACGTTTGTGCAAAACGAGAAGCAAATCACGCATTTGTACGTTTGTGTTCTTGTACGCAATATCTTATTTGTATTAAATGGAACTGATGTGAAATAAGAATGGCTGAGTATGGAAATTCCCTGTAGATGTAATGTGTGCCGTTTTGTAGATGTAACAGACTGAGGTGTTTTGAATGTACGGGAAGAAACCAGGGACCTAAGAATAACCAGATCTTCCTGCGAAGCTTGGCTGTCATGGTAACCTCTTTCAAATAAGCACATAATTTGGGGCAGCTGCATTCACAGCAGGAAACAAACAAAAACGATAAAAAAAATTAAAATTAAATCAGTTCTCGCTATTGTAATATTTAAATTACATGGGGGGACAAATCAATAGAAACTTACTTTGTGCGATGCAACTGAATTAAAAACATACACAATGAATTTTGAGGACAATGTTTTGATTTTAATAAAGATAAGTACGAGGCACAAGAAAGTTTGAAGAAAAGTTCGTATTAGATTTCAAGATGTGTCTGTTAGTTCGGCTGCAGCTTATCGGACAGTTCACACCTATAGCACAGCGACATGGTGTTTAAAGCCTACCTTGAGCAAAAACAGTACAGTGCAGGTAAATCCCTAAGCGAGTGAGGTGCCTAACTGGATGGCCGCGTCAATCCTGAGCCGTGTTCAAGGGTGTGTCAGCGTTCATAGGGCTTAATCACGCCTACAGTACGTGTCTCGTGATGTATATTAACAATCCATTACCAAATATCTCAGCTCCTCTAAAATTTCAATAAAAAAAAAAAACATGTTTTGTCTGATGGATTTTACCCATAACTTGGCTGGGGCAGTAATTTTTCATACCGCTCGATTGTACCACGGTATACGGTATATTCAAAACCAACGCTATTACAGTGTCCCTCCGCGAGGAAATTTACGGAGCAGAAGGGGGTCCCCTGTGATTAAAACGGAGGTGGGGTCCAGTGAATTTAAGTGCCGAGATTTCAACATATATCAGTATACCCAAAGTACCGTATTACCGCTAAGCCTATCCATGACTGTGTTAAGGTTTTTTTTTTTTTTTTTTTTTTTAAACACAAGGCGCATTGTTCACTAACCACCAGGAAAATTATCACTTTAAAAAAGAAAAATATCCTGTTGGGGATAGTATTATTAATTTTTTAATCACTGCTTATTCCAAAAATGGAGAAGCTACCCCATCCAACTCTTACTCTGTCTAGTGAGAATTTTAGCGCTATTTAATTAACGCATGTTGCCCTACAAACCCTTTGCAGGCACATTCAGCAATGATATGAAACGCCTTCATGTTTAGTGCCCAGTGAAAGCTACGCCCCTCACTTTACGGGGGTGCCTAGCATCGTAACATTAGCTGGCACCACAATGAAACAGTCAGTGACCAAACTGTGCCGGTCTCTCTCTGGTTACATTCATTCACGTCTGTGTCCGGCTCTAGTGTAGTTGAAAACATCCTTCAGGAGAAAAATACGTCTCTATCCAGTGCTCTAAATTTGTATCCAGTGTCTACAAAAATACAATAAAAATTGAAAATAAACTCTATTTCTTGCATTTCGATCGAAAGCCAATAGCGTTTCATTTACAGTTACTTTTGTCTTTTGACAGAAGCACAGGAACCCAAACAGTTAATGCCAAGGTCAAGGAGACCAAGATGATACATCTCAGCTTCTGGGGTTGTACCCATGCTACTTGGAGATACTGGAGACAAGTCGCTCTTACAGTTAGGAAACAGGACAAAGGACAGCACACATATATCAGACCCCATAGAGCCAGTATGACGTCAGACACAATGTTTGGAGTGCTGTTTGTGTGTGGGTTGGGGGGGGGGGGGCTAGCACCTCTAAAACTCAAGACATGGAGGAAGCAGCTGCAGAGCGAGATGGAAGAGTCTCCAGAGTCACCTCTGGGGGGCACCTATCGGGTAAGATGCCTGGTCGTAACAAGTGCGGCAGCAATATCCTAATTTCTCAACCTTCCTGTCTCTAGGTTTAAAACAATTAAACACAGTGAATTGTGGGAAAGCTGGCGACTGCGCTCCCCTAGAGGCTGAAGAGGAGCACTGAGAACTAGCGGCCCTGGCTTGGAGTCTCCCCAAGACATGACCTCCCAGAATGCCCTCCTAAGACAACTCCGCATCCTGACATATTACTGAAGGGGCACACCATAGATTCAGCCTGTAGCGTGACCATTTCTTAAGGTCGCTGGGCACGTATGAGGACTGGAAAGTCAATCAAAGATACAGAGTAAGTCCTTTCAAAAATTCTATTTCATTTTCAGAAACCTAGACACCCCAACATAACCTCTAGGGCAGAAGTACTGTAATTACCTGACTTTCGAGAATCACAGAAGAAGATTGATAATTATATTAGAATTTAAAGTCTGAAGATTTTAATCCAATATGGTTAACAGGCCTCTGAATATTGTCTCTGATTGCTTGCCATTCTATTCTCAATTATGTGATATAACTTTATTTTTAAGAATTGTCTTTTAAATTGGCCAGGGCCTCCCATGAGCTAAGGACAGATGGCTTTGGTAGGTGGGTTACAATTTTTAAATCGCTACATTACGTAAAGTGCTCGACCTTTCCCGGTGGCCAAGAGCCACAAGTAAGGATCTCAAAACACCTACAAAGTTATTCAAAGTGGTGGCCTTTTGATAAAATTAAGGACTTCTGGTTTAAAAAAAAAAAAAAAAACCACACACACACACACACACACACACATACAAATGAGACTTAACAGCCAACACTAACTGAACACATTGTCTACACAATGGACACAGTCATTCTTACCATCAGGGATCTTCCAGAATACAGAGTGACCAGAGAACCAACGTCTGATCACCATGGAGACCAAACACTGCCAAGACACATGTAACAGAGTGGTTACAGAACAACGCTGTTTTGTTTTACATCTAAGCAGTTTCCTGCGTGCAACTTGTTGCATATATTATTCACACCAAGATCAAGAGTGTATTCCATGTCTCACAGCAGTCCCCTACGCATGGTTCACTTGAGCTGAATGAGCACAATGAGTCTATCACATGGAGAAACATGGATCATAGACAAACAAGCACACGGACCGTCACATAAGCGTCATGTCTGGGAGGCAATAACAGGGAGAGGTGAGAGACTGCTTTTGGAGTGAGGTCATGGTCTTACACCATTGAATATGGCCAAAGAGGCAGCCTCCTGCATTGTCCTCTAGCATAAGGGAGCTTCCGTAACATTTGTCCATCTCCAGTTCGATCGAACCCCGTGACATAGGGCACCTGCTCCTGGAGTAAGGTTTACTGACGCCCCCTGCTGACCCCTAGGAGAACTTCCGCTTCTGGATGGCTTCGGCGCGGACGGCCAAGCTGCGGGCACAGATGGTGAGCAAGACGATGAGCGTGCCCAGCAGCAGGCTGACCATGGGCCACAGGATGCAGTGCAGGAGCACGTTCTCGTCTAGAGAACGCTTCCACAGCACGTCATCTGGCCTGCAGGGGGAGACAGAGAGCAGGCATGTGCATCTTCAAGCCGTTGTACCCTAATACAGATGATACCCAAAACATACCCTGGAAAGACTCATTCCATAGTCACAACAATAAATGACCTTTGCTATAATTATACATTTACAATTAGTATAGTTTTGTATTAAGGCTAAGGTGCATTCGTTGTGAACTTTACACCACGTGGGAATTAGAGAGATATGTGTGGATTAGAGGCTACATTCAGACATAACAGTGTGCATTGTTACACACTCCATAACAAGTTACCATAGTTAGTCTCACCATTTGCCTGACATTATTTTGTTACAGTACCTAAGCAAGGAAATATCTGAATTTTGCTCACAAATACAGTCAAACCTCGGATTGCGAGTAACTTGGTTTGCGAGTGTTTCGCAAGACGAGCAAAAATTGAACTGAGTTTCCATTATTTCTAATGGTAAAATTTGCTTTGATATACGAGCGCTGTGGATTCCGGTATGTTTCTGGAACGAATTGTGCTCGCAATCCGAGGTTTTACTGTATACAGAAATAAAATTATCCCCAGGTAAATGATAATCACCATATTCACAACTAAATTCTTTGGTTTAACAATTGAAAGTGTGTATGTGTGTGGGTCATGTATAGATTACATTATAGGGACCAAATGACCTCAGAATGTAATAAAAAACCTGTTATTTTGACACTGTGGGGACCATTTTTTTCATGCTCACAAGAGGAAATTAATAAAAATCAGTGACTGCAATCAAAATACTAAACATGTCCAAGGTTCTGTATTTTGTTTGGTTACTTAAGGCTGGGATTAGAGTTTTGCCCATAGAAATGAATGAACGGTCCCTACAAAGATATGACTAAAAACGTGAGTTTGTGTGTGGGCGTGCGTGTGAATGTGTGTGTGCAGTGTGCATGTGTGTGTGCAGTGTGCGTGCAGTGTGCATGTGTGTGTGCAGTGTGCATGTGTGTGCACGCACCCAGTAGCAAGTAACCACAAAGACATACTGATTAAATGAAAGTTCTGCCAATTTCAAAGGGCTGGAGACACACAGAGCAAAGAAGAAGAAATATAAGATGGAGACCTAGCTGAGCCAGAACACGGCACCACACGGCTCACAAAGCGTGCGACAGGCGGCACACAAACAGCCGGAGGCGCCTCAAGGGTCACAGGGTCTCGGGCAAACACACCCCACGGCAGTTCCCCCCACTCCAGCGCATTCAGCGACTCCCAGGACAGAGACGATGGCAGCTGCCTGGATGCGTAACGCTGTCCTTAGTGGCCGACTAAGGCGCTGCGAGGATCTGGGCTCGTCAGCTGAGCTCAGCGGAGCTCAGATCCTGACAGGATGCTTCCAGATCTTTCCAACAGGAAGCCCTACCGGGGTGAAGGCGTGCGGAGGGGAGGTATCTCAAGAATTACAGAGGAAGCACACGTGACAGCGGAGAAGACAAAGGGGTGGGGGTCCAATCCCAACAGCGAGATTGTTAACACAAATAAGCTATCAAAGACCTGTCCACAGACACGCCACCCCCAAACCTAGACCCTAACCCTAACCCCAACCCCCATAGGGGCTCTTGGAACTCCCTCCTCCCCTTTACAGTGCCCCCCCCCCATCCATTACCATTAGATTTTGCGAACTGAATGCACACCACACAAAAAAACCCATTTCCACCATTTTTGGCTCCTTATAACACATGCTAAACTTTTTAATTCAAGGAGAGAAATAAAATTAAATTTAAAAAGAGCTAATTTGACTGATACGGCTCTTGCAGCTTCAGTAAAAGGCCAAGCACATGACTGCAGTGGGAAGCAGTTCTGTACCGAGCAGCGTTGGCAGGAGATTAACGCTCAATAAAACAAACAATCCAAAAGATCTCACTCCGATTTATCGTCCCTGGGATACGAGACCACAGCTATCGACAGGAAACGGTAGCCAGTGGGAATGCGATGCTTATTAATAAATATAAAAACAAAAAAATATATGCAAACCTAACAAGCAAATATATAAATTTAGAAACAAATCGAGAAATCTAACAAACAGGCATTATTCCACTGGTGGGGCAAAGCGGTTGTGCGCACAGACACAGATGCTCTGGTCTGCATTTTGCTGGATGGTCGCCTGGGTAAATATGTTAATTACAGGATAAAAAAGGCAGGCTCGCTGGGTGGTGTAGGCAGGGAGGGGGCCCGTGGAGACAGGCCCCCGCCAACAGCACAGTCTGATCAGCCTCTCAGCTCCCCGGACTCTCCTGGAAAGTGGAGCACCACCCTCGCAAGCTTTGGCGTCCGGGGCCGCCGAGAAAGCTGGGTCCGTCTGCCCGTCTGTCCGCTTCAAAAATGACCATTTCTGTCCTGATTAAGACTCGGGCAGGAAATCGGAGAGCAGAGGCAGGGATGGAGAAGATTTCTATCAGGAACTTGGTTTATGCCCTCAGCTTGCTGATTCAGTACAAGCACTGCCATAAGGAGTGTGTTAGTGCTCAGGATTAATCACCTTCACCCTGGTGCTACATTAACACAGCGGGTAAGTAAATGACAGTAGCCACCAATCTAATACTGCAGCCATACTCCGTTCAGCTAGCAGTCAGTCTAGTGGATAAGGAACTGGATACTTGATCAAAGGGGTGTTGATTCCCTGGGGCACCGAGGACTGTGTTCATACGGCGAAAGTACTTTGTCCTAATTGCTTTTGGAGGAAATTCAACGGTATATGGAATAAAGCACTAAGCACTGCAAGGGATTCTAGACAAAGGTTTATAATAATCATAATAATAAAACCAGATCCGGATGTGAATCAGACTTATCCCAATATGACAACCAAGCTGTTGCCAAGAGACTAATATGAGATGAAGTTTAATCCCCTTAGCGATCAGGGATGATACATGATGAATCCACAGTTCGCACCGCGGGACCAGCCATCCCCAGAACGGGTCCATTCATTCTCCCGGGCTCACCTACAGTGGAGATCAGGCTGTCAGAGGTAAATAGAGCTGTGTTGGGGGGGGGGGGCAGGAACGTGTCCCCTGACGGGAGAGATGACAGACAACCACCTCTGCAGACAGTCTCATCGCGCCACTCTGGTGTTGCTATGGCAACCCCATCTGAGGACCAGGGGAGCATCTGCCGGAACCCGCTGGCCTACTGACCGCAGTGAACTTCATTTCAGAACGATTACATGCTGCGTAACTAGAAGACTCTCCACGCGCTGCCGGTTCTAGGCTGCTATGACACCCTCAGACCGGCGCCGCTGCCGCCCGTGGCCGGTACGTGACTCCTCAGCGCCGTCAGCCCTCAGGAGAACCGGGGGCTAAGACTAACACAAGGGGGTTAGAACAGGCGCGTGAAAAGACTAGAAAGGTTTTTTTAACATCCTGTAACAACAGGTAGCATTTCACACAGCTATATAAAAGTCATTTTTCAGAGCAAAGACAAACCCATCTGCCAATTAGAGGAAATGAAGGACGTGAAGAAGGAACAGCGCCTCCATCAGGCAGAGATGGAAAATGACGGAGTACAAAATAGAAAGTCCTCCCCCAGGAAGGTCCATATGCTGCATGGGCTTGGCTGCGTGTCTCCAACTTTCCTCGCTTCAAACTTTTCATGCGGTTATCCAAGCACTTCGCTGCCGGCCCAGAATAAACACCAATGGACCAAGAACCACCCTGATCTGGCCCGGCACACCGGGTGTTGGTCGGGGACCGTGGAGAGCTTCCAGGCACGCTTCCCTGGTCAGACACCCAGCAAGGGGTGCATCACACTCCCCATCAGCACCTACTCCCTGGCACGGCAAAAAGCGGTCCCACAGTGCGTGTAGAGGTTGGCCTGGGGGTCGGGGCAGACTGCGGAGATCCACGCTTTATTCATTTTTACTCAAACTGACAAATGATTCAGAGAGCAGGGTCAGTACAAGGTTAAGGGACCTGCTCAAGAACAATCAAGGTTAAGGGACCTGCTCAAGAACAATCAAGGTTAAGGGACCTGCTCAAGAACAATCAAGGTTAAGGGACCTGCTCAAGAACAATCAAGGTTAAGGGTCCTGCTCAAGGGCAAAATGGTGAAATCACTACACCAACCCTAGGATTTGAACCAATGACCTTCAGATCATAGACACAACATCCTAGCCCACTGAGTCACATACCACTTCTGTAAACATCTCCAAATGATCAAACAAATGCAGAAGAAAAGAATACCTGCCACCGTAATGTTGATCCACATGCCATTTAACACCTTCACAGTGTTACGGACACACGCAAGCGATCTGCGGGGGATGGGCGCTGACGGAAGGGCCCTGGGGGCAACAGGGCAGTCTCACCTCCGCTGCTGGTTAAAGAAGCAGGTGAAGGACTGAGAGCTGACGTTGTAGATCCAGAAGTCCTGCCACACCAGCACCTTCTCCTTGTTCTTCTGGTTGTCCCGCTCGCACTTGGGAACGTAGGAGCACTGAGAAAGAGCAGCCAAGATCCATCCTATAAGCACATTTAGGCACACAGTACTCCTGTTCAATGCAATTATCATCATCACCACCATCGCCCCTTCATATCGAACAATAACCTGTTTTGTGAGAACATCCCAAACTGACCCCAACCAGCATCACTTGGACGTTACATTAGTAAGGTTTTGAGTACTTCTGTGGTTTGGCCATGTAGTCTTCTGCTCACTGTACCTCAGTAATGTTGTAATTATGTTGTGTTACTGTAGATAAACAGTTGGAAGACGTACGGTGTATCTGTGTACATATGAATGTGCACTGATTGGCTACTGTATTAGGTGCATTTACCAGAATCATCTTTTGCCTCCAGAGCCTTCTCAAACGTCGTTGAGCTGTGCATGTACTGTAGGGAAGCCATTCTGCTCACCGCCAAGCTGTTATTTCTGCACTTGCGGCCTGTTAGCTTTATCGAGTCTGGCCACTCTCCTCTGACCTCTCTCATTAACAAGGTGTTTTCGCCCACAGAACTGCCGCTGACTGGATGCTATCTGTTCCTCACACCAGTCCCTGCAAACTCCACACACTGTTCTGCATGTCCTCATGCCAGTCTAATGCTCAGCTGAACAGTAAGTGAACCTCATTACCCTGTCTGTGTGCCACGTGATTTTCTGATTGGAGGAGTCAATATATATATATATACTGCCACTAACAGGCTCACGCACATGCAGGCCCATAGGCCTTTGGTAGATTTTGCCAATTAAATGGGATCAGAGGGGCGGGGCTTCAATCTTTTCATTTTACTTGCTGGATATGTTCCTAGTTGGGAGCAAATAAATTTTGGGGGGTCTTAAACAATTTTACTACATGGCTACGTGCATGCACACATGAATATTGGTTTATTCATATACGTTATCCCTAAGTGAGTCATATATTGGTACTTCTGCTATGTGGGATGCAGCAAGACTCCTCCACCTCGCATGTCAATAAATAACAGCAGGGGACACATTAAGATCATAAGCCTGGGTGGAGAAAGGGAATGGGTAGATCAGGCGTGAAAGCAGCCCCCCCCCCCGGCAGCCCCGTCAGCGCCGTCTGCTGTCCGATGCCGGCGTGACGGCCAGACCTCCGACAGCGCCGGCGTCACGCTCAGCCCAGGGGCTCCGCTTCACCGGGGCAACAGGGTTTCCATGGAGATCACACAGAGAGGGGGTCTGCAAAGGAGGATGCCGCGCTGGCGCTGTGGATCACATGACCTGCCAGGGTTCACCCTACGCACAGGGGACATCGCCCCCCACATCTCCCCAGAGAGGGTGGTCTGGAGATAATCCCAGAATGCTGTGTCTTCGCGAGTCCTGGTGTAACTTGTGACAGAATGTTCTTTTAATATTCATGACCCCCCCCATTACAAATATCTGTTTATAGTTCTGCTTTATTAAAAATTATATAGGTCTTGACAACAACTTTCATAAATGATTCAAAAAGTGACCCATATCGTCTGCAAAATAGGTGCAGATGTATTGTAAGAATCAATCAGATGAATCGCTGAGATTCCAGGTTTTGTCTGACTGTAGGCACACGCTCCCCATCCTTCACTGACCGTGAGGCCACACATCCCTAATTCAAGCATCACAGACATTCGTTTTCTCGCACATACACCACGAAACCATTAAGGTGCAGGTTCGGATTCCATGGAGTGCGCTTATGAAGTTGGCTTTAGCGAGATTATTAACCTCAATTGATACACAATTAATAATCAGTATCACTTGTGAATTATCAATGGTATGTTGCATGTCTAATTTTCAGCATTCCTGCATGCCTTCCACATTTGGTTTTCATTAGACCTTTTCCTGGGTAATAATGCTTTATGGGATAGTACTCTGAGTGGCCCCTATATTATAAACACCTAGCCAGTACTGGGGGGGGGGGAGGGATGTGGCTGAAGCTGTTATTTTTGCACCAAATTGCTCACATCCAGCATATGTAAAGTTCCTGACCCTATCTGTGTGCAGTATGCATTCAGTTCCAGCCACATGATTGGCTGTTTGGAAGCTGTTGCCATTAGCAAGCAGGTGTACCTGATAAATTGGCCACTGAGTGTATATGTTTTGCTTTGTGGGTCAATTTTCAGGCGTAAACATATTGTTGGCCCACTAAACCTAAATAATGGTATAAATAAGGTCGGCTGCTTGTGTACTTCTGGCCAGCCCCAAACAGCGGGAGTCTGAATAAATCACCTGCAACGGTAAAGGCCGAGTTTATCAGCACTCTGGAGGTGCACCATGTAACAATGAACGAAAATCATCAAAGCCCTCAAAAGTTTCTTCTGACTTTGTAGTGCTTTCCAAAGTCAGTTCTGAGCTTTGTGGTGCTACACCGATTCACAATCAAATGGACAAATTGTGGGAATTCCCCCCAGAGGCCCCGTTCTGCAAAAATCTCTCCAAGAGTAAAATCGCGAAACCACCCAGGGCGTCGAGAATAATCCTAGAGCAACATTCCAGGTCCTGCACACCTTTCTTGCCTCGGTGGAGGCGAGTGTTCAGACCATCAAATATAGCAAAAATTGCAGAATTCGTTAGCTACTAATTCACCAAAACCACTATGAGTGCATGGCTTGCCTTAGCTAAAAGCACCATTTGCGCATTCATTTACAGTCATTTCCAAAACACACATGTCACTCCAACCCTGAACCATATCTGGACCATAGTCAAAATAAAATACCTCAGACGACCAACTAGAAATCCGTTTTCGATGATTCCCGAGCACACGCCTAAGGAAACGCCTGAGATCCCTCTATTACACACACACATTCATCACGCCAATTAACGGCCTGGCACCTAAAGCCCAGCGTCACCAGTTGCCATGAGGACTGGCAACCCTGCGTAGCTCCCAGTGCCGGCTCTGTCCGGACCGAGAGCGGCTTGGTGCGACTCGGCCCCGATTTACACGACGGGCTCCATTGGCATAGCAACGACTGCGTGCGGCCTACCGAAAGCTCCCTCCCTCGCTCCCTCCCTCACTCCCTCCCTCCCTCGTCAGCCTCCAAGATCCCAAACAGTGTGACTCAGTGCTGTGTCATAACTGAATGGCAAACAGGCAAACCTGCTTCAGGAACGCCGGGGCACGGCAGGTCATCAGCTCTGCCTGAATCGTAAAACACCGATTACCTCCGGCGCACAGTCACCTGCCTCAATTCAAGCTAAATAAGTCCTGAAATCGCTCAGCTTATGCTCTGAATCAAACAAAGACCAGCAGGCTACCCGATATTTATATCGCTCAGTGTGATAATTACAGAAGGAAATATGACTAGACCTCCCAATAGGGCTGCTCTGCTGGAAGTGCGGGTAACGGTACTGCCCTCCGGTAAACATGCAACTGCTCGTCAGCCAGGCTTTGGCCAATGAGAGTCATTAAATCAGAAAATTAGATTCAGAAAGCAAAAGGGAGGGGGGAGAAAACTGGCCACAGTACATGTGTGACCGATGTGACACCTGTCTTTATTTTGCTAGATGGGGTGAGAGGATAAGATGGCCGATTCTAACCTCAGATTTGCGCTTCTGTAACTCCTCTCCAAATGCATTCATTACACCCCAATACAGTTAAGCGCTGAAAAGCGTCAGAAGCTTCAGGCTGGACTCGGCAAAGACATCGGCGTTTCATCATCCGTCGCCAAGGCTGAAATGGACCATGGAAAATGTGGAGCACAAACTTTGATTCCTGCCGTGGTAACGATTCCCAGACCTCAGAGTAGATTAAAGGGGAATATTTTGGTCTTTGGGAGAAAATTAAGCTGTGATGTGTCCTGAAAACTTCTGAGATATCCAAGGGACGCATTACAGGAGGCCTTTGAAGCCTCTTCCTACCCTGACATGAAAATTAAAGCCCCATTTCTTTCACGTTTTGAAGCCTGTGCAAGTGTATGCGAGTGAAGAGTCATCACTGTTAGCCTGAATGGGCAGACAGGGGGACACCTTGGGTTCTCGGGTTGGGTCCTCACTTCAGCCCGGGTCACTGCACTGTTTTATTGAAGCAGGTGAAGAAGTGAGGGAGTTCCCCTGTGTTAAGCACCTTTCTGGCCGGGAACTGGGAGGGAGTAAAAACATGGACTGTTTGTGGATCCCCGAGGACTGAACTGGGAAACACTGCCCTGGAGGATGAGAGGAATCCCAATGGACCACCCAGGCCTTCCTCCCAGTCTAATTTAAGGTCTTACAAACCTCTGGGCATTTGTTCAGCTCAAGTCGTTCTTTGGTAGAAATTGGTTCCTCTTCTAGCAAGTCTCAACAACTGCAGTCTTGCAAGTCCACCTGAGTCTAGCTGGCGAGCTGGTGGTGTCGCCCCAGGGGACTTGACGATGCATGAGTGGGCTGTAGGGCAGGGGGGGCCCGTAATTTCAGAAGAACGGATTAGAGCCATGGCAGAACCAGCAAGTGGCCACATCCTGCTGGCCTTGCTCTTCATCCCAGCGGACCGTCAGGCCATCTGGTCAAGTCCAGGCTTGTCCAGCGATTACCGTTAAAATAATTAGCCACCACACAGACTCCACATTCATCAAATACAAAGGGCTGCTATCATTTATTAAATAAGTAAACCAGCAAAATTGTGTAAAAGAATATTTTGAAAAACACGCGAAAACAACACAAACTTCAGGGTGATTAAATTCACAAACAGAACGGAAATCACGTTTCAAGCTCCCATGCACTTTGGTATGGTCCACGGCAGTGTAATCACTACAGTCCACCAGACAGAGGAAGCAGCTCGAATTTGATTTCCACGTACCCCGAGGCATAGGAAGGTCAGTGATTTCATGCATATATATAATTCAAAGATATTGCGTATTTAATCAGATTCATTCACATCGAAATCGTTATCCATGCACTGGGCTAGGGTTGAATGTCAGGCACTTTAATCACCACGGGGTTTGTGTATGAATCCTTACCCCTGAACCGCTGTTGTTACTCGCATATAAACAGGTTTCATTTCATGGCGGTTTGACTAGCCTCAGAGGGTC